ACCACTGGCCTTCCGTGCCTGGTGGTCATGCATGGGTGTACTTCTGCCACAGTTGGTATTTCTGGCAATCGCACCATTTACGTTCTTGGACTCCACCGTTGAAGAAACAAAATTGTCTTCGTTCTCAAGACAAAGAAAGGTGCCACCAATTATCTCACCAAATTGTTGGCAACGAGACCTGGAAAGACAGGTACTATCAGGGTCTGCGTGGAAGGACCATATGGCGAAGCTTGTTCTGTCAAGCACCAGGATAATGTTGTGTTTGTTGCCGGAGGAAATGGAATCCCAGGCATTTTCTCGGAATGCTACGACTTGGCTCAAAAGTCTGCAAACAATGCTAAACAGTGGATCAAATTAATCTGGGTCCTTCGTGAAATCCTGACCATTGAATGGGTCTGGGAAGAATTGAGTTCCTTGAAGAACACCAAGGTGGAAGCAACAGTCTACATCACTAGACCTGAAGGGGGTAACGACGACGTTCTTCTTCAACGTATGACTTGCAGGAGTGAGTCGTCCTCGACCGATGAAAAAGAAAGTCTCTCTAAAGAAGGGATGGACATCTTTGATCGTCTACGTCAACATTTCCCTCACGTGACATTCAAGTCCGGTCGGCCACTGATGGATGCTATAGTCGACAAAGAAACAGAGGAAGCTGCTGGTAGTGCTGCGTTCATTACTTGTGGACACCCCATTATGGTAGATGACTTGAGATATGCTGTTGTCCAGAAAATCGACAAGACGGAGAAGCGTGTCGATTTCTTCGAACAATTGCAAGTATGGGCATGATTCCCTTTTTTTTTGGTTAAGGGCAAGACTGACCTTGAATATATGACCATGTGTTTTCATCAAGAGTTGTGTGCGATGGTAGTAGTTTGAAGTCGAGATGCGTCAAAATTGTAAAGCGACAACATAAAAGGATTCCCAAAACAAAGAATGAGTCGAATGCATGGATTTTCTCTAATTCCTTTGAAAAATGGACAAACAATTTTCTCGAGGTGGTACTCATCCATCCAGCCGGAAGCAAGTATATACCTTTTCCTGCTAGTTGCAGCATCCAGAGTGCATAATGAGAGTCGAGGTACTTGCTGAACCAGCGAGCCATTTATTTTTTCAGGAGAGTAGATATAAAACTCATTCGTAAATTTCAATGTTCTTTTTCACTAGATTCTTGAGCATGGGGTGTCTCTGAGCTGCAACAGTGATCAATCCGGATTTACGATGTGGATCACAGAACTATCTTGGCACACTTGGTCGCTTGTTGGTGACAGGTCGCAGCTTCGAATACACACGTTCGTTGCAGTAGTCAAGAAAATTCCTCTCCTTAATGGACGGACTTTTCTTGAGTGTTGGAAGACTAAACAGTTTGATGTATAATGGCACCCCGTAAATTTCGCGGCGTCTGCAAGAAAATGCAAACTGATGCCCCGCATTGTTAAAACCGGCTCGGACCCGGGTTGTCATACTTCGCACTTCGCGTTTGGCCGAAAGCCGTCTCGGAATTTCACTAGCGTGCGAAGTTTGATTGAAACTGGAAGAACTGAAATACATGGGAAAAAGCAAATTACATAAAGAGATACTGAAAGCTGCTTTGCCAGGTATGCTTGAACGCCACTGTCCAGTTTCATGAGCGTTTTTCCTCAAGCGGCCACAAATTCGTATAGCCAGAACAGTAGCTCTTTAATTGTAGTGTCTGCACGAGTTTTGCGATGTCAGCTGTATATTGGGCGCACGCACGCCAACGTCTAAAAAGTTTTTTTTTTAGCTTTTAGTTTCGGTTAGCCTCTAAAGACTGGACACCAATTCCAAGATGAAAGTCAAAGAAACCGCTTGATTGCATTTTTTCATGTCATTATTTTGACTTCCGATACTTCGAAAGCATTGAGTGTTGGGAGTTTGCAATTCAATACTCCGTTGTGCAATAATAACTCCATATGCGGGAATGTGAGTTTGGGCACCCATACACAATTTTCGCGTATGGCTCGAGCCCGTACCGCTTCGCGAATCAAACGACACTGGCTTTAAGGTTTTGTTTATACACGAGGCGGTGCCAAGAAAACTCATACCTGGTAATGGATACTGAGTTGCTCGAAAAAATGAGAAATAAACATGTTTGATAACAAGTATTCTTCTTTGATGAAGTGGGAGTCTTTTATAGCCTTAGTCAAATTCCAAATCAAGATCATCGATGCACCGATGCGAGCTACCCGCAAGATATAGCCGAGCGGGAGCGATAGTTTTTCACTCACCCCTTTGTTTTCTTTCCTCTATACTGCTTGCTCTGCTCCTGCAACAGCAATGCTTGAATCTAAATACCTCCTCGAAAGGAAGTCATTTGGGTAACTTGTACCGAGCAGTATTGCGAAAACTGTACGTAGTAACTCTGATCAAAACGATGAAAAGGTATCTGGTATATAACGAGGGATTAGGCGCAGTTTGATGTGCGTTCGTAAAACGGGTCAGGCATGCACCGAAAGTAATGCAAAATCTCGACACGCTTGCCACAAAGCGTGTCTTCTTTCATTCCAAAACACAGATCACCTGTGGGAGCATATCCAATAGAGAGAAAGAAACGAACAGCGAACAAATGTCTGTGAAACTTACAATGCCTCCTACCCAACGCATATCCAGATCCTGCATGATCGTATTGATAACTGCAATCATGCCCAACATACACGTTTGTCGTGCAATTGATCAAAATTACATTTCTTGGCAAAGCGTGAACGTGGCGCCTCAACTTCAAAAGCCAGCGAGCAAAAAGCTGAGAAAATCGAAGACATAACCAAGGAAAACAAATGACTGAAAACATCACCTTTGCCAAGTAATGAAGAAACTTGCAATATGATTACTAAATATCGCAGGAGTATGATCTACATTCCAGATCTCAGACTCATTGCCGCCCGGTGCGAGAGAATATCTTTTTCATCAAACGCACGATCATGCATGAGTTCTTATGATCCACGTATATTGCCGAACAGAGGGAATGGGCCAATAACGAGCCGTGCTTAAGAAGTGCTGAAGAATATCGGAATGCAACATATAAGAGCATTCTTCAAGCTTGAAATCAGGCTAACAATTTTTCAGATATCAGTTCAATGAGGATTTTTGCGCCTTGCTTCGCTACCCTCTGTCTTGTAGCAGCTGTGGCTGCTTCCGAATTTATGAGTTTCGCAGTCTATCAGAAGGAATACATGGAGCTCAGATCATGTCACAACGCCCTCTATACCACCGCAAGCTTCTGCTCCGATCAAAGCTCGAGGTCTTATGAGTGCTACTGCTCGAATGAAAACGCAATGGCTTCATTAGCAGGCTGCGCTCAGTACCTTAAGGAAGATACCACGGACTTCTTCAGGTACTTTGTCAGTTATTGTGCCACACAGGATGTCACCATCACCATCTCAGATCTTGATGATTCGCTAGACTATCTCAGTGAAAATGGAGAGAATTTCACTGAAGTATCCAAATCATTGAGTGCCAGAAGCTACGACCTGCTTCAGGAAAGCAGCACCACTAAATCATTAGATATAAATGACTACTCTCCAAAACTGTTTCGGAAAACAGGATCCAGCTCGGCCAATATCATTGATTACCCTATTTACGTCAATGAAACATTGGCCACCCTGTACTTCCACGCCTATGAAGCATTCTATGGAAACTTTAACTGGTCATATTGGTTCTCCGATGCACTCTATGCTTATTGGGCTTTTGCGTTTGTCGTTGCAGCTGCCTGCAATTGGTCCGTTGTTGTGTTTCCAAGTTTAAGAAGCACGTGTAACGGACCCATTTCGAAAGCGTGGAGAAAATATATTACTTTACCGGCTCTCGTCAAAAAGAAGAAGACTAATCATCAGGAATTCTTCGGAATTTTCAACTTCCTTGTCCCATCAAGATTAGAAACCATCATTCTTTCGGGCTTTTTTTGGATGACTTTTCTTTTTAATGCATTATACATGGACTGGGAAGAAGGGAACCCATTGTTTGAAACCCGATACTCTGCAGTGTTGCGATACGTTTCAGACAGGACAGGTGTTATCGGAACAATGCTACTTCCGATGTTGATCTTGATTGGGGGGAGAAACAATTTTCTTCAGTGGTTCACGCGGTGGAAGTTCTCAACATTTGTGTTATACCACAGATGGATTGGGAGGGTCATCGTGGCTTTGGTATTTGTGCACTCTATTGCTTACACAGTTATCTTCGTCAAAGCTGGAAACTATGCTGCACGTATGAGCAGGGAGTACATGATCTATGGTGTTGTCGGAACTGTGGCTGGGGCTGTTATTTGCTTTCAAGGCTTGCTCTTCTTGCGTCGTCAATTCTATGAAGTATTTTTGGCCATCCATATTATGATGGCACTTGCATTTGTTTTAGGTGCTTGGAGGCACCTTGAGAACCGGATGTTCATGGAATGGGTATTTGCATCCGTTGCCGTGTGGTCATTTGACAGACTTGTCAGAATTCTCCGGATGATCTGGTTTGGCTTTCCCCAGGCTACTGTGACTTTGCTTGCCGATGACTGCTTGCGAGTGGTGGTTCCAAAACCGAACCACTGGCCTTCCGTGCCTGGTGGTCATGCATGGGTGTACTTCTGCCACAGTTGGTATTTCTGGCAATCGCACCCATTTACGTTCTTGGACTCCACCGTTGAAGAAAACAAAATTGTCTTCGTTCTCAAGACAAAGAAAGGTGCCACCAATTATCTCACCAAATTGTTGGCAACGAGACCTGGAAAGACAGGTACTATCAGGGTCTGCGTGGAAGGACCATATGGCGAAGCTTGTTCTGTCAAGCACCAGGATAATGTTGTGTTTGTTGCCGGAGGAAATGGAATCCCAGGCATTTTCTCGGAATGCTACGACTTGGCTCAAAAGTCTGCAAACAATGCTAAACAGTGGATCAAATTAATCTGGGTCCTTCGTGAAATCCTGACCATTGAATGGGTCTGGGAAGAATTGAGTTCCTTGAAGAACACCAAGGTGGAAGCAACAGTCTACATCACTAGACCTGAAGGGGGTAACGACGAC